CACCTTGTTGTATTGGATAAGCAAGTTTTCTTGTACGCATTTAACAAATTCTTCCACATCCAAGCCCTTAACACTATGGCTGTCCCAGTCTATGTTCAGAAAATTAAAATCCCTTTCCATTATAACTCTATTATTCTTTTCGATATCAATTTCCTGCCGACTATTGAGAGGTCTATAGTATAATCCCAACAAGGTGATCATCCCTTTCTTATTTCTCAGTTCCACCCAGATAACTTCACTGGACGTATTCCCAGGAATATCCTCCCTAAGTACAGCCGTAATGTTATTCCAAACCATAAACACCACACCCCCTCCTCTCTTGCCTCCCTTTCTAACATTCCTGTAGCATTTATATCCTGGAACATTAAGCTGGGAGTCCTGTCCATCCCTGAGCCACGTTTCTGTAATAGCTATGATATCCCAGTCCCATGTTCCCAACCATGCTCTGAGTTTGTTTGCCTTTTGCATTGATGTAAATGCAGTTTATCAGTCCTACCTTGTTCTCTGCCAAGCCCTTGTCTGCCTTAACTACTCGACTTGTTCCGTTACCTACTGTACCAGCCTTGGCCTTTTTGTTTTTCTCACTATTGCCTTGGTTCTCCCAACCAACCACCCACTCCCCCCTTTACTAGTGTAAAGTCTCTTGAGTAACGCTAGCAAATCTCCCCACAAGGACTTTGATCCTTTTCCAATTCAGATGGAACCCATCCCTCCTTTACAGGTCATTTATACCCGTAAAGAGATTTTAATGATGCAAAAATATGAATCCCTGCCCCCTGCACCAGCTCCTCAGCCATGGATTCACTTGCTCTATCCTCCTATTCCTACCCTCACCAGCATGTGGCGCCAGTAGTAGACCAGATATTACTACACCTTTTGAAATACTTTTGAAGTGCGCACATCTTTGTAATGTAGAAATGCAACAGTCAGAATCCCTGAATTAGTGTAGCTCCAACAACAGTCAAGAACCTTGTGGCATCTAGGACAGAGGAGCCTGCTCATTTAGTACCGCATCCCCATGCTCAACATTCACTCCATCTTCTGCCAGAAGTCACACTTCACAAATGGTGGGACATTAGGAAGCTCAGAAGAACAAAGAGATCTTAGGGTGCTTGTCCCAAGAAGGTGGCTGGGCAGGTTAAGAGGCTAGTTAAGAAGTTACAATTGTCAGTCAGAGCACACAGTACAAGATCAGGAAGATCGTGTTGGAGCTGTACAAGACTTTGGTTGGACCATGCCTGGATTACCGTGTGCAGTTGTGGTCACCACACTGTTGGAAGGAGGTGATTACATTGGAGGGGATACAGAGGAGATTTACCAGTTCCGAGGAAGGGTCACCAGACCCGTAACGTTAACACTGATTTTCTCTTCACAGATGCTGCCAGACCTGCTGAGCTTTTCCGGCAACTTCTGTTTTTGTTCACAGCATCCGCGGTTCTTTCGGTTTTTGTTTGTTTCTTTCACCAGGATGGAGCAGTGCAGCGATGAAGAGAGGCTGGATAAGCTCAGGTTATTTTCTTTGGAGCAGGGAGGGTTGAGGGGGTGACCTGGTAGAGGTGTATAAGATTATGAGGGGCATGGACAGGGTGGAGAGAAAGCAGGTATTTCCCTTAATTTAAGAGTCAAGAAAAAGGGGCATGTTTTTAAGGTAAAAACCAAAAGAACTGAGGATGCAGTAAATCAGGAACAGAAACTGAAGTTGCTGGAAAAGCTCAGCAGGTCTGGCAGTATCTGTGAAGAAAAATAATCAGAGTTAACGTTTCAGGTCCGGTTACCCTTCCTCAGAATTCATGTTTTTCAGGTGATAGACTGGAGGTTGAGAGGGAATTTGAGGGAACATCTTTTCGCCCAGAGGATGGAAGTCAATGAGTGGGAGAGTGGTTGATTCGGGTAACCTCACAACCTTTAAAAAGTACATGGATGAGCACATCCAGACCCACAGCAATGTGGTTGACTCTTAACTGCCCTCTGGGCAATTAGGGATGGGCAATAAGTGCTGCCTAGCCAGCGACGCCCTCATGCCGTGAATGAATAAAGGAAAAAAAAACTGGAAGTGTCATAATATTCAAGGCAAATGGGTCTACAGCAAGAAAGTACATAGGAGCAGGGTTAGGCTTTCTTCACAGCTGATCTGTGGCTGAGCTCCACCTTGGCCCACACCCCTTAATAACTTTGCTTAAGAAAAGCATGTCTCTCTTTCAGATTTAAAGTTAAATTGATCTAGCGTCGATTGTAGGTGGCAGAGCAGTTTTGGCAGATGGGCCAAAGGGACCTCTTCTGTATGATTCTGCAAAGGCAATGAAGTGGACAGATGACATGGAATGGTGTGGAGCTGCCGTGCACTGGGTAAATGAGCTGGCGAACTCTCACCTGACAGGGCTGTTCGCTGTGTCGGGGTCATGTGCCGACACAGTACCGATGTCTGTGTCGACGCTCGCAGCCTCAGAGACTGACATCTTGTAGAGAGGCGAGTTGAACTCTGGGGCCTCATCCACGTCCTCCACCACCAGCTTCACGGTGGTAGTGTCCGTGAAGGGTCCCAGCGCCTGCAACCTCAAGTCGGTGTTTTTATTGGTGACTTCAATCTTCAGAGTGTAGCTTGACTTTTTTTCAAAATCCAGCTCCTGTGAAACAATTACAAAATGCACACATATTTACTTGGCGCAATGTCAGTTCATTAAAGAGCATGACAAGCAAACAAAGGAGCAAGTCGCATCCATCAGGTGATGACATTTTAACATGGGATCGTTTAATTAAATGGCAGGAGTATTTTCAGCTTGCTCTCGCTCCATTGCTCCAAGCATCTATCTTTGTTACTCCTGCTATTTGCACTGAAGTGACAACCTCCCAAGTAAATAAGGTTCCAAATGAATGATTTATTTACAGTTCCTCCAGTATCCCTCTGCAATTTATTTTTCTTTTAATGCATCTATCTCCCGCTGTTTTCTGAATAAGATGTATGGGGTCTGATAGTCATCTCCAATATGAGCATTGTCAGCCCACTGAAACCTTATCACTGCCAGAAATACCCCAAAACATTTTATAGTCAGCGACAGAATTCTGTCATTGCGCAAATTCTGTCAAGAAAGTTGTATCCTTGGACACTAAAGACTTGCTGAGCTTTTCGGTTTTTTTGTTTGCAATGAGTTGGAGAGACTGACTGAACCAAAGCAATTCTCAGGAATATTGCAGTATATACCAAATAGATGGAGCGTTGTTTGCAGTTCATTTTGGATAATTCTCTCCTCTAGTACTGACTTTCCAGAGTTCAGCATGGAATCCTGTTGCAGAGAATAAGCACACAACATCAGGCTGGCCACAGCGCAGTACTGAGGCTGGCCTGTACTGTTAGACAGGCTAGCTTTTAAGTGAGGCATTAAGCTAGGATTCTGACTGTGTGCTGTTAGGGATGTATAAGATCCCATGGCATCGCACTACAAATACAAAGCTTCTGAGATTGACATGCGTGCGAAGTGTCTCTTTAATTTCCCACAAAATGAAGGAAAGCAGAAACTTATGCAACACACTTTGAAATTTGTTTGACAACAAGCATGGTGGCTAGGTGCTTGGGGTGGGGGTGGAGGGGGTAACTTATCCACTGAGAAGAAGATGCAAGATGTCCCACCCATAGACAACGAAAAGGCAGTTATACTGGCTCTGGGTAAACTGTTAATCTCAGTCTCAAAGGTGGGTGTTCTGAATGCAAGGTGGTATAAATAATTGTACATAATTGTTGCAAAAACAGAAGTTGCTGGAAAAGCTCAGCAGGTCTGGCAGCATCTGTGAAGAAAAATATCAGAGTTAACATTTCAGGTCGGGTGACCCTTCCTCAGAATGCAATTGTACATAATTGTTCATGCATTTCCATGATAAAACGGATTTGGGGCTTACAGGATAGCTAATTAGCAATACTATCCGGATACAAGGCTCTTGTAATTCACTTTGCCATGGAAATTGGTTTTAAAGGCCAGTCCATTACAAGCCATTATAGTTTTGGATTACAATGTTTCTGAGATATTCCTGAAATTCAGGTTAGTCTGTCGCCATCTGAAAGAGATGAGAGAAATAGAGAGAGAGAGAGAAAAGGAGACAGAGAGAGAGAGGGAGAGTGCACAAGGGAGAGAGAGAGAGAGAGACGGAGAGAGAGAGAAAGAGGGAGAGAGAGAAGGAGATAGAGACAGCTAGTCCTGCACATGAAGCAGAGAAATTGTTGACCTTATGTACGTTAACTGTACAGAACATAGGTGCGAAGTCATAATAAGGTTGAAGAGATTAAGTTCATGAGGATTTAAAAGAGGCTGAAAGATTCACCTAGCCTGGGCTGTAATTTCTAAAATATGCCCAGAGTGAAAAGCAGCTTTGGGATTAGATGGAACTTGGCTGGAAAAGGATATCGGTAGCAAGTCATTGAGAGTAGACAATAGTTTAGGACTAGTTTTGAGTGAATGAAGTGTTTATTTAATGGACAGTGTAGAACATAACCAACATTGCACATCTTCAATTGTGCTAAAAGCCATTGGGGATTGCTTTTCCGTAACTCACTAGTAAATTGCCTACAAAATAATGATTATTCCATGTTCCTTTATGTCATTTCTGTGATAAAAGCCTTAAAATTTGAAATGTTGACATATGATCCTTTCAGTTGATGAATAGAATTTCAAGTAACTTTCAGAACGATATTGGTCTCTGCAGAAATCATCTCAATTTATGGACACTTTACAGGAATTCACAGAGTTCACATTTCTTCAAATTCAAGAATGAAATAACACATTGGTGTTTTCCAGAGTTTAAATGGTCAAGCTTTCACACTTCATTTTGTTGTATTCATGGTAAAGCTAACATGGCTACATCTATTTTTGCTGGTACATTTCTCAAAAGAGTAACTGTGAGTATTTGGCAACAATTAATCAGTTTTACTTTGAAGGTACTGGCTGAGAAGTCAGAAATTGATTCAAAAATAGGTGCTTACATGGCACAAGTGATCAAATCATTAGCACAAGATCTGAATCTTGGCAAAATAAAAGACTATTTAGCCAAGGAGGTTAAAAAGGCATTTGGTACGCTTGTTTTCATTGCTCAGTGCTTTGATTATCGGAGTCGGGAAGTCATGATGAGGAGGACACTGGTGAGAATTCTTCTCGAGTCCTGTGTCGAATTCTGGTTGTCCTGTTATAGGAAGGATATTATTAAGCTAATGAGGGTTCAGAAGAGATTTACCAGGATGTTGCCAGCTATAGAGTTATAAAGAAAGGCTAAATGGGCTAGGACGTTTTTCACTAGAGCGTAGAAGGTTGAGAGGTGACCTTATAGAGGTTTATAAAATCATGACGGTTATAGACAGGTTAATGGTAGGTGTCTTTTCCCTAGGATGGGGGATTTCAAGACTGGGAGGGGCATATTTTTAAAGTGAGTGAAGAGAGATTTAAAAAAAAGACACGAGGAGCAAATTCTTTACACAGAGGGTGGTTCATGTGTGGAATGAGCTTCCTGCGGAAGTGGTGGACGCGGGCACAGTTACAACATTTAAAAGCCACTTAAATAAGTACATGAATAGGAAAGGTTTAGACAGTTATGGGCCAGGAGCAGGCAGGTGGGACTAGTTTAGTTTGGGATTATAGTTGGCATGGACTGGTTGGACCGAAGGGTCTGTTTCTGCGCTGTATGATTCTGTGATTCTATGACTAATTCAGATAAAGTTGTGCGGGATTCAGTTACAGATGATAAATATATTTGGAATTTCAAGAAAGAAAATGTAAAAGAAACATTGAAAGGAAAAAGAACACAAAATGTAAAAACTTGAACAGTAATTTCATAGAGTAACTGAATATAAAATCCTAGACTTGGAAAAGAGATGTAAATTATCAATGTGTTTTTATGCCCACACCAAAGAATTTGGGATTAAGATAGACTGATCAAAGTTCAAGACTATCTTCGGTCTTCATTCTTTAGAACTCTGTTTATTATTTGCTAGTGCTGACTACTAGAATACATAGTCATCAGATAAATGCCAGGCTGTAATCTTCTTATTACATTATTGAGTTATTTTCTATCTCACTTCACTCTTCCAATCCAACTCTAACTCACTCTGTCCACACTGTGCTATTTCTGCCCAGTGTGGTGCAGCTCTGTGATATCGTCGCAAATTTGCTCCAGGGCTTAATGTCCTGAACATTTGAACTGGACACAGAGAGAGAGGCTGCAATTCCACACACAGGGACTGCAGGAAAGACATGACAATGAGTCTCCTTTGATTTCCGGTTTTGATTTTAGTAAACTCTGAATTATCCAATACCCAAGCATCCTGAAATCTCATGAAACTGGAAAAAAGTTCAAAGAAAATTTACCATTTTTATAAAATTTCTTCAAAAAAAATCTATGTAAACTCAGCACACCAAGTTCCGATGTGCATATGTTCACTCATGTGTGGAGTTTCCAGAACCCAGCAAATAAATTGTACTGCCCTTTTCACATTTAGATTTAATACTTTTCATTCAATGAAAACAAATGTATGGTATTGGGTTTCTATCAGAGTATTTGTCATGCAACTGGCAGATTCATAAAGCCAGCTCACATCAATCGCCACACATGCCTGTTTTCATTCTATTCATTTGTAAGATGTGGGCATTGCTGACTGGCAGCATTTATTGCCCATCCCTAGTTGCCCTTATGGAGCTGGCAGTGGAGCTGTCTTCTTGGACCACAGTCAGAAGTCACACGATGCCAGGTTATAGTCCAACAGGTTTATTTGAAAACACAAGCTTTCAGAGCCTCAGTCCTTCTTCAGGTGTTAGTGAGAGAGGCAGTACCAGACACAGGATTTATAAAATATCAAAGAGTCACACCACTGCTGAGGATGTATTAAACAACCCTAAGATGCTGTTAAATCTTTAATCAGTTAGAAGGTTTTAATTGATTAATATGTGTATGTAAATCCCCAAACTCCTTTTAAGTCACCGCCCTGAGAGAACTAAAGGTTTTATCAGTGCAAAGAAGAGGTGACATTTTAGGTCAGACAATGCATATTAGGTGTGAAACCTTGTTTAGAATCTACTTGTGTTTTAGTTTGGAGTCAGACTGGTTTTATTTCTAAAGTAGGAATTTATAAAATGTCACATTGACTGACTATCTATATAGATTGTGTGCTTTGTGAACAAAATAAAATGTATCTGCAAATATAAATTCACCCTATAGATTCATACACTGCAGTCCAAGTGCTGTAGCTAGATCTATAATTCTGCTCGGCAGGGAATTCCAGGATTTTGATCTAGTGACACTGAAGGAATAGGGAAATATTTCAAAGTCAGGATGGTGAGTGATTTGGAGGCGAATGGATAATGGGGAGTTTACCATATTTACTTGATGCCTAAGTTCAGTGAGAAACGAGTTAAAATGTACTTTGTATCCTTTCAGAAAACACTACATTCACTCAGATCAATGTAACAATGGCTTAAAGAAATTTAGATAATTTTAGTATTCTCGTGATTGCAATGTGGTCAGCCAGGTGGACTTCACAAAATATGAGTTCCCTGATTGGAGCTGTTAAGCTGGTCCAATCAGGGAGCCCTGGCTTACAGATATAATAGGAGTGTCAGAGGCTCTGCTCACTCTAAGAGCTGGCTCTGAG